CCGACATCTGAGACCCCACACCCATAGAGACTTTCGGCTTGTAAACCCCGAGTACTAAGCTTTTTTGAAACCTAAACCCTAAAACCCAAAGACGCTGTTCGAGAACCACTTAAAGAGCCTTGATCCGCTGGAGAACGCGGTCCACACCAAGGTCCACCTTTGCGGGAGCGAGGTTAAGTGAGAAAGGCACTCGGACCGAAGCCCTGTTCGAACATGGGGGGGCCTTGAAGTCAGTATGCGGTACTTTACGGGCTTTTCTGGGGCGTATAGGAATTTCAAAAAAAGCCGAATATCGGGGTTAGAAAAGGAATAGTATTGGCAACTGTTAAGACGGCACAGGCTTTAGGCTGCAGCGTGGCGTCTAGGCTGAAGGACTCAAGGTTTGGGTTCAAGGGTTCAGCGCAGTATATGGGAGTTTCCGAAAATATGAGGTACCTTATTTTGGGGTCCTACAATAAGGATCCTACTATTTAGGGTCCTATACTAGGGTCCCCGATTTCGGAAACCCCCAGAGGGCTCCTAGTGGGGAGAGACCTCCTTTGCTGGAAGGGGATGCTCGTCCTCCGCGATGCCAAAGCCCGCGCAGCATTACGTAGGGTTTAAGCCTAATTCGGGACTAAACAGATGCCCAGGAATTGAATGTGGGACTGCTGTCTGCTGAAACTCTAGACAAGCCAAGCAAGAAACCATTTCATTGTGCTGTCCGAGACACCACGGCCGGGCCTAAAACCTAAACCCTAACTAAACCCTCATCGTATAGGAGGCCACAGAAGCTTCCAGTTTTAACAGCAGTTTTGTTGGGTTTCGGGGTCTGGGGTTTATAGGGTCCAGGACGACATATCCGCCCTCACGCCTCTTTGTATGTGAAAGTCACGGACGGGTCGAACAACTTCTCCTGCAGGGACACAGGCATCTGAATTCCTTGGGGTTTGTAGGGAAGAACCCAACCCAACTATGATATAAACCTACTTCAACCACGGTGTCTGTCTTTGAGAAGCCCATGGCATTGTACGAAACACACGCCACCTCCGAAGCAAGCAGGGTGCGAAAATCGTTTCATAGTGTGGGGTTTGGGACGGAGTCTCTCGGGCTTCTTGGCTTGCGGCCGACTTCTGGTTCAAAGCTTGGGGCTTAAAGGCTTTAGTCTTGGGCTTTGGGGTGTCTGTAGGATGCTTCAGGATTATTAGGGGGGCCTAAACAATTACTTTACTATTTTGGGTGTTCCTTTTTTGTTATAGTATAATCGGCCCCAAAACCCTCTTCTTATTACGCTCCGCGCCGGTCCAGCGCCCAGACCCGTCGGGGAATGGGGGGAGGGGAGGCAGGAGGGGAGGGAGGGAAGGGGGAGGGCAGGGGGGAGGGGTGGGAGGGGGGGGCGAGGGGGCTGATGACGTTCATGGGAAGAGACGTTCTTGTTGCATGTGTTCATTTCTTCCCTTCCGTAATGACTTCTTCTTGCATGTTTTCTTTTCCTCCCTTCCGTACTTGCCTT